CTGAGGGGAGACCTCACTGCAGTTACAACTCCCTTGTGACGGGAAGAGGAGGGGCAGGCACTGATCTCTGCTCTGTGGTGACCAGTGACAGGACCTGATGGAATGGCTTGAAGCTGTGTCAGGGGAGGTTTAGGTTGGATATTAGAAACAGGTTATTCCCCCAGAGGGTGGTTGAGCACTGAACAGGCTCCCCAGAGAAGTGGACACAGCACCAAGCCTGACAGAGTTCAAGAAGCGTTTGGACAAGAGTCTCATGCACATGGTGTGATTCCTGAGGATGTTCCTGTGCAGGACATGATCCTTATGGGTTCTTATGTGCATGATCCTTGTGGGTCCCTTCCAACTCTGCTATTCTGTGATTCTGTGGTGCTTTGGGTCACGCAGACCCCTAATACTTGTGAGCTCAGCCCTGCAGCAGCACAGTGCTAGAGCCTGCAAACAGCTGGCTCTTCAACAGCTTTCCATTCATCCCTCTCCCTGGCATTTTGTACCACCTGAACCACCCTTCCTTCTGCATTCCTTCTCGTACAGAGGGTTTGGAAATGGTGTGTTTCAGTCAAGCTTGCCTTTCAATTCTAAGAACTTGAGAGCCGCCTAGTGGAGGCCTCTGCCCGAATGCCAAAATTCAGCCAAAACATTTTATTCCTTGTTGATATCACTCCTGACGCTGTTTCTCCAGCTGAACACCACATAAGGACTTCAACTGGATTTCGTATGTTTGTCTTTTTCACAGAAATGTGAATCGCCTTCTAAGATAAAACACTAGAAGTGATTTAATAAAAAAGCAGAATTGGAATTAAGTGCTTATTTCCTGCTATGACAAAAATCTTTTCTAACCTCACAGATCTCAGCATCAGACTAGTGGCCAGTACTAAGAAGGAACTTAATTCTGTAGATGCAAGTGTGAACGAAATGAGAAAATACACAACTAGACAATGATACATTCTATATTATTAATATAAAACAGTCTGATTCACCAGCATCAAAAGCTACGAAAGTAGGCAACCGTAAACTAAACAAAACTGCAATCACAAACAAAATCTTATTCTTTCAGATAGATATCTTTTTCCTCTTGTTTGCCTATAACACATTTCATTAATGACCATGAGATGCAAAACTGCAAGGCACACACGCACGGGTGTATCACTGATGCATCAGGCTGAGCAGCAATTATTCTAATGCAAGTGTGTATAAAATCAGTAATGTAGAAACTTCTAAATCAGACCATGACTCTGATGTTCCCTTTTCATCTATTATTGTTTTGCATGTAGAGGTTAATTAAAGTTGAAAAACATAATTAACCCTGTTTTAAGCCAATCTGGAATTCAGGAGCAAAATCTGATGTATATGTACATGCGTATTACTTGGATCTAAGCGACAGGAGTGGGGATTTCCTACCTTCTTTTAGGGTTGTAATAACACAGGGCACAGCATCAGAACAGCATCCATTGCCCAGCAAAAGCCAAAGAAGAAAGGTGAGGGAGCTTGGTAGTCAGGGATGTTCCCAAAGCTCAGAAAGAAGTGTCCATGTGGGTTTACAGAGCACACTGGGAATCTATTACAGCCACAGAGAGAACCAGCAGTGACACAGTGGGGTTTGTGTGTCATGGCTTTGATGGTACAACACTCACTTCTCATGATTCCTGTGAGGAACTCAGACATGCCTACAAGAAGCCAGAGTGGGACTGGAGGCAAGTCAAAGGACTGAGGAAGACCCGGAACAAGAAGCTCTGGCAGTGATGTGGAAGAGTTGGAGATCTGTGACAAATCAGAGAGGCCCATCTCAGACAAGGCAAGGAAGTGCCTTGAACAGTACTCTTGACATCTCCATGGTTGAGGCCCTTATCTCATGATAGAAGAGATTTCTCCATCATTAGTGTGATGGAGAAGTAGTTTCTGTGAAGAGGTAAAAACTTACCGTTTACACACATTCCACTTGACAGTAACATGTTTTGCAGGCATCATAGAGGGCCACATATTGCTGTAAAGAGCCTGATTTATTGTGGCACTGCTCTAGTTTTACCAACTGAAATACCAGAAAGGAACTGACTTTAAAAAAAAAAAACACAAACAAGCAAGTAAACATAAAAGACAATCATATGAGTGAAATAATATCTTAAAGAAATATTGGGTTTTTTACCCAAATCTAGTATTCACTCTGAACTGATTTCAACATCAGTTTTAAAGCACAGAAAACTCCATTCAGCATCTGAAATCAAAACCACAAACACAGATGAGGAGCTGAAAACGCCTAATTTTCCATTTGGAAATCTCTAACAGCTGTCAAAATAGACACCTAATGGTAAAAAGGTGGAATATGAGCAGAAAAGAAGCAACAAGCAACATGGTCAAGAATAGAATACCATCTTACCCAGAGAGAAGACAAGCAGTGAAAAGGTATATGCACTTACATCAACACACTTGTTTCCTTTTAGAGGTTTGAGAGGTCTGTCAAATCGAGCTAGTAGGGGTCACAAGAAGAAGTGTTCCTTGAGTTAAGAACAAACTTTCTGTTCTGTTAGTGTGCAACATCCTGTGCACTGAGACCAGTGTCTTCCCAGGCATGCCAAGAAATCCTGCTTTAAATCAGTATCAAATACATATGTATACACACATACACACACACATATCACACACATATATATATATATCATATATATACATAATATGTGGCTGGAAAAAAAAAGTCACCTTTCTGTATATATCTAGGAAGAACAGAACTGGAATAACAAACAAAGAAAAATAAAAAGACAACAAACAAACAAACAAAACAAAACTCCAACAAACAAAACTGAAAGAAAAAATCCACAAAAGGCAAATCCCCCAAAAAGCTCAGTTCTGTACCAGATGCTATAACATGCCTTCCTGGAATGGTGCATTTGTCATGGAACCATTTACCGTGAGATCATGGTTTAATAAGCATGGGAATCCCTCATTAAGAGAAATCCTTGGAAGCTTCTGGTCTTTGAACTGCTGGCAATTCTAAGAAATGATTGAGCAACTTTACAAAATCCAGCTCTATATACAGCATGCTTAAGCTTATCCAGGATGTTTTACAGTTCAAGATATTTTGCCTTGTAGGTAATTTTCCCTGTCTTAAGATGAAGGAAAGAAATTACAGATCTATACCTTGACTTTTAAGTGTGCTTTCTTGAAAGTAAGTTTGAAATATTTTGCTTAGAGTATGTTATTTGCTTGGGTGTCTGGAATCAAACAGAAATAAGGTTGTCCTGAAACTCATAAATGGTATTGTTCATCTAGTCAAGTCTTTAATTATAAAAAATTCACACAAACCTGTAATGCCCTTCCTAAGGAGAAACTTTCAGTATGGAGCTCTGCTATGACTAATACTCTGACCTACTCTAATAAATTCTCCAAAGAGACTACTGTCTTATTTTAGATAGCAATCTAGACTATAGAGTGCAATTAAAAAGAATATTAAAAGCCATAAAGTTGCTACTTCATATTACCTTCAGATAGGGCTTGCAGTCATAGCTTAAACCAAGCATGTTCATAACCGCAGGCAAACTGTGACAGATTTTGTTTTACACAGGTAAGATTCCTTCCTCCACTAAATGAAGACATTAACCTCTTAAATTCTATAGTCTTCATCTCCTCATCACTGCCTTAGATTGTTGGGATAGACATACTAACCTCAGAGAACACTGAAGGATTTCAGGTTCACCTACGAGGTTAGAAAAGGGATCGTTTTTCTGTGTCGTTCTTCCCCAGTGTTGTAGCTGATTATTTTGTGGAAAAGCAGCACACGAGGTCAAGATGTTCCACAGTACATGATCAAGGAAGACTACACACTTCCTAGGGTGTCTGTTCTCAGCGTGAGGGTCCAAGCAGGCAAGCTTTCTGCCCTCCCAGGCAGGAGCTCTGAAGTAAAGGGAAATGACACTGGAGCAGAGGACCAAGTATTAGCCTCTGTGCACCACTGACTTTGCCTGCAAACAGGAACTGGCAAATTGTGTACACCTCTGAGGATAAAAGAAAACTAAAATACCGAATACTTATCTGTGCACTTCCGTGAAACTTGCCTGCAAAGCCACACAACCACCATGCAACGATCGAGCACGTGGGGGTGGAAATCTGCCTGCTGTAACACACTTGCCTGAATTCTGTCATGAAACAAAGGTTTGCACACAAGGCAGTCAGAAAGAAAAAGAAAGGTCTGTAAATGTGAGGAGAGGACAAAAGTGTAGAAAAAGAAAAATGGGGGGGAGGGAAATTGAAGAGGTGGAGAATTCTGAGAAATGGAAACGTCCAGTTTGGCTTCAGATACAAAGGGAGCTTTCTAACCTCCCAACACATGGTTTCCTAGCAAATACAGTGTTAGCATAGCCATGGATATTTCCAGACAAGGAATCCAGTCATAAAAATTATGAAGTCAAATAAATAAGTATTGTCTCAAATGCAATAGACTCATGTAAGTCAATTATAATTCATTTTTAAGCCATCTTAAGTAGAACTATTATTCGAAAAGAAAAGATCTATCATGGACTTAACTAAATTGATGCAGAACTCTGTTAAGGATATTGATTGTAGTTGGAAAAGTACTGACAAATGAAGAGAAAAATGAGGGTTTTTTTAAAATAATTTTATCTATGGTTTTCAGTCCTGCTGTAAGTAGGCTGGAAGTGAAAACAATTGCTTTAGATTGTTTTACAGTGACAGCTGTGGCTGTTGAAATTGCTACAGACATTAAGCATCAGATCTCCCTGTGAAAGGATGACCCGTGCTCTGCTGACTATGAATCTATGCTGACTTACACCAAGCACACACTGCACAGTCCTGGTCACACGGGAAAGCAGATGGGAGGAGAAAAGAGGGAAAATAAATTACTTTTATTTGTATTTAATAAAATTTGGCCCACAGGCTTTCTGTGACTCAGTACTGAACATCTGGGATTGATCACAGGATCACAGACCGAGAAGCAGTCATCTGGCTTCTAGAAATAAACACATTCAGTCCCTCTTCCACAACATTATTTTCTTAATGATAAAATGCAACGGCCATTTTAAGTCTTTTCAATACTTGCAGCCACAGTACTTTTAACTTTTCAGTACTTTCTAGTGTTACTTTTTCACATCGGGGCATCAGACGATGTTAAATTTCATTTGAGCTTGGACTGGCAGCATTTGGGACTGCCCTCCACACACACACGCACACGCAGTTAATTCACTGCTGTTCTGCTTCAAAATTTTATGATACAATGGCAGTCCTGCAAGTCCAGCTTTTGTTAGTTCCCTTCCTCACGAGCACCCTGGGAGCAGCGCAGTACCTGGTGCAGGATGCAGCGCTGATGAACTACATGGACCGGCGTTTCCTCTCCCTGGAGGTACGTGCTACCTGCATCCTTCTGCAACTCTGCCTGCCTGCAAAGAGCTTTGAACACGTGTGAATGCTCTCCTGTGTGTGTGGACACAGAACAGACTGTATGATATACAATACCAGGATGACACACTTCCAGCTTTTTCAAATAAATAAGTAAAATTGTGGCTAAACCTTGAACTATAATGATTCCTACTTGCCACGTCATTTACTGCACGATGTAATTTCATAATGTTATATTTTCATTCTGTTATCATGTGTATGTTTTGTTTTACAACACCAATGAATTTAGCTAAAAATGCAACTGTTTATATAGTACTGCTACAGTCCATCCTAGGGAATAGTAATAAACATATTGTCAGCAGTAGAAGTGCTGTCAAGTGTTAACAAGGAGATAGAAGTTTATCAGGTGTTTTTTCTATGTACAGATAAACTACTGTTCCAGGTGGGTTTAAGACACATTTCTGTAAACTAGAAGTGTATCTTCACTTTAAATAATCCCCTTACAGCTGGGAGACTGAAATAAGTACTTCCTTTCAATTAATTACATAAATGTACTAGTTCTTGCTTCTTTTTCTGCAGTAAAAATGCTACCAGTACTGCAAAATATCTCTTCAGTATTGGTGTGCTATAATCATGTATTATTTATCTTAAATGATTAACATGTCCTTGGCTCCTGGCCTGCACTGGCAGACTTTTAGAGAAGCTCTAACTTGCCTTGTCTCATGTCTCTTTTTGTACAAAACTCCCACCGGTCTAAACTTCACAACACAGAAAGAACTGAAGGATTATTCTGACATTCTGTTCCCATTGTGCAGAGTGAGAATTAAATTTTCTTAGCCACTATAGAAATAACTTCACATGGTAATTCCTGTTCTTTTTGGCACCTACTAAAAATTATGCAACTCCACCTGTGGCATTTGGTGCAAAGGGCACCAAACAAAGAACAGGACAAAGGGTGAGGCAGACACTGAAGGCAGCACTTAGAAACATTTAAAATAAAGTCCTTGTAGAAAGTCATTGAAGAGCTTCCTGGGGACTTACAGTCATGTATAAATGGGGGAGGGAGGGAGGCACAAAGCAAACAAACCACCACCACCAAGTTTACATGGAACATGTGCAGACTGCACTAATCACTCGGGAAACTCAGACATCCCCTACTCAAACACCACCTTAAAACCAAAATACCTGAAATCTGTGCGTGAAGCACCAAACCAGAACACCCAATCTAGCAGTTAGATGTGCTATGGTTGTGTGTTTGGGCTCAAAGATTGGCTCAAATTCCTCATTTTCCCAAAGTGGCAGCTGGGCTACTATTTTCAGGACACCTATGATCTTAATAGAAGCAGCTGCATTGCAACAGAGAAATCACATTTCTCACCATTGAAAACATTACTAATTTGAATTTAGGTGAAAAGAAACATGTTCAGGTTTGGTTTTGTTTTTTTAAATATAACCAATTATTTGACACAGAAAAGAACCCCAAACAAACAACAAAACAAAAAAAAAAATCAACTAAAACTTCTTCAAATATAGCACACCAGTATTTTCATTTTCCCTTTTAAATGGATGTAAAATGGCTCCACTAGATTCTGCCTTGATCAGAAGAGGTGTATTTATGTGAAATGTTCCTGTTGATAGATCTGCAGAAAACTTTGAGACTGCTTCACCAGTGGTCCTACAGGATGAATTCCAAAGTTTCTGGAAAGCAAGTCATGATAGGTTATTAAGTACCATTAAGTACCTCTGGCTGTTTCCACTGGATAACTTTTCCTTCTTTAAGCAGCAAAACAAAGTATTTGGCTGTCAGTAAACACATCAAGGCAAAAAATGTGGGGTTTTGTCCAGACCTTGTGCCAGTCTCATGTGTCCTCTTCACATAGATAGCCAGCAACAGCCACTGGTTTGAAACAGATGGGGGGCAGGACTGGAGAGAATAGCATGTGTTTTTTTTAAAGCAATCGTGAATGATGTTGAAATGTATACAGAATATCCATGTATTTTCTTCCTGTGTTCCAACTTAAGAAGAGGCTGGAAAAATGCAACCAAGACATACTGGATTATGTGGACGAATTCCGAGGCTTTTCAAAGATGGCACTGTCGCGCCTGGCGGGACTGAACTCTTATAAGGCTGAGGTTAAAAGTGAAGTACAGAATTTGCTCACAAGAATTGAACGAGCACAAAGGGACATTGACTATTTTGGATCTGTCACAGATTCTAACCCATGCATAGAAGTGCACGAAGACCTGGTGAAACAGCAGCTACTTGAAGAGGCAGAAGGAAAAAAGAAACTTAAACTCATGCTTAATGCAAGTAAGAACAGTTTGCTTTTCAGAATGAGCCAGTACCTTAACCAATGTGTGAATGCTGATAGAGGGATAACAGATTTCCATTACCTATGTGGATACTACAGATAATTGCAAGGGGGTTTAGCTGTGAAAATATTACACTTATAAAAACGATGTATATGCAAAAAAGGTATGGGAGAGGGATAGAAGAAAGTACAAATCAAACATTTATTTTGCAGACATCCTAGCTGCATATCAAATTAATTCTTTGGAAGCTGCTTTTTATTATAAAGTAATGTAAAATCCTCTGAAGATATGCATTTCTGAGTACTGCAGCTATAATGAGGAATTAATGGTGGCCTTTGTTTTCTGGAGTGGGCAAGGGTCAAAACCTCAACTCAAAAGTGAGTTAATAAACACTTCATTCACAATTTGCATCTGGTTTACTGTCCTCCTCTGTTACTCTTTCTCTCTCTCTCCCCTCCTAGGTACTTTATCAGGAGAGCACTCTGGCTTAGCCATAAGCAAAGCTCAGTTCTGATTTGAAAATTAAATGTTATGGTACCTAGCATGAAGCATATATATACACACATATAAAATCTATACTTAAAAAAAAATTAAATTTATAATTATAAGTATTTTGCCCTTAAAAGGTTGAGTTATAAATGTAAATTATGTATTGTAGACATGTTTAAAAGTAGTCTGTTTTCTTTTCATAAAGTAAGAAATGAAAAATAAACAATAAGACATATAAACTGTTATTTTTTTAAAAAGACAGGTGAAAGACCTCTAGCATCATCAGTTATATAATTCCACTAAGTTCAAGAGAATTAGACTGACTGAATTTTACAAATAAGTTTACAATTTCTTCCTTGAACTTTTCTAGCAAAACAGTATTAAGGCAGATGGTTACAAAAGCAATCACCTATTCTGCTTCTAAGCTCTAATCATACACCACGATTGAGTGCTTTGACTATCAATATTTCTGTTCCATATACAGAACTTTTCAACATTAGGCATTTTTTTAGAGAGGCAAAAGAAATGAAGAATTTTTAAACTGACTGTGTTTAGGACACTTCGAAAATTATATCTTTCTGAGAGTTTAAGGGGGAGAAAATTACTTTCCATTTTCCCTTGCTGGAAATTATTGTGGCAGTTCTTAGTCACTTTACTTTCAACTTTTATTTTACTGTCAATACTAGTCAGAAGCTTTTCCCATTGAAGTCGATGGCAAAACTAATCCCTGCATAGATTTTACAGCACTTGGAAAAAGTAGAAAGACCCTCAACTCTAGCAAATAGCATCTCTGCTTCTATGCCATCATATCTTATCCAGAATCTATGATTATTTTTGCTGAGTCACTCTAAAACTCAGGCAGGAAAGTGTTTTTGAAGTCCAGCTATGTTACTGGTTTTGGTTCAAGTTCACACAGCCTTGAAAAGAACGATGTAGAATCACTGTTTTTACATGCAATAGCCAATGCCTTTGGGTGGAAAATGCAAAATTATCTTCTGCACATTTTGGGGTGTGATAAGAAATAGTGGGCTTTGAAGGTATCATTACCAAAATTTTTCCACGTTCTCTGCAGACTTTTTGCTTACTGTGAATGTCTCGATTTCTCTGTCTCCCTCCAAACTGTTATAAAAACCAAGGGGGGTTAAAAATTTTCTCTCAAGAAGAGAGACACTCCATAGATTTGTGATAGTAACCCAGTTATTTCTCCTGCAGAGGAAGATGTTGCTAATGTTGGTTAGGTATTTTGATTCAGCAGCTTAAAGTTTCTAGAATCTATCTAATCAAGAAACATTACTTTTGAGAAAGCTATTATGCCTTGTTCAGAGATGGTGCTTCCAGAGTGAGAACTTCCAAACCCCTCCCCCAAAAAAACTCCATGCTGTAGCAGTAACATCCAAATTCTTTGATTAGAGGGTATCAGTACACACAAATGACATAAAGATTGCTTTCTACAGGCAACTGGAATCTTGCCACTGACTTCAATAGGTTCATATCAGGCCAAATAGGGAGGCTGGTTTTGCTTTCTCTATTTCATCCGCTGCCAGAACTTCCTGCCTTAGAGCTTTGTTTGTTCTGTTTACTGAAATGGCTGCACTTCACTGAGAGCAATTCTTTAAACTTCAAATACTCTGCCTTGTAATTTATGGGTGCCTTTGGTAAACAAGCTTGTTAATACGCTTTGCAATAGAGTTTTTGCTGGAAAGGATGGTGCTTGATAAAGATCTTAGCGTCTAAATGCCGGAGTCTTCACAAGCTTGATGCTTTTTGGTTTTAAACTTCTATGCAGAGTGCATACAAAATGCAATGAAGCCAAAATTATGACTGGGTCTCTGTGATGCCAATTTTAATCCTATAGTGAGGTAAACAACTATGCAATCCCACCAGCCATGCCCCTGGCACAAGAATTGATAACACAGATGCCATACCAGTTCTTTTAAGAATGTATGCACATTCCTGGTTTTGTGATCTATGCATTTGTTCTAGTTCCTTTGTGCTGCAGGTGTTGGGAAGGGGAATGGGAAGATAGCCCAGTGTTCTGGATTTCTGTTGTGCTGATCTATTTTTATTTGTCTTTATAATATAAATGCATAAAAAGAGGCTAAGTGAGGATAAGAGAAGTCCTGAAAGAAAAATACTATACATGTGGCATATCAGGAAAATGGATTTTGATTTGTACGCCTTCAATAGGACATAAATGTGATTATTTTTACTGTGTTAACCTAAATCAGAAGTCAGTTCTCTGAAGTAAAAATTATAACCCTGTAAAAGAACTGACAAGAATAAGCACAGAATCAGTAACTGTGCTCTTGGTCTCCTCTCAGGTACACAAATGGAATCCCTTTTGGATAACACTGGTCTAACAGAACAAAGCCCAACACACTATGGGTAGCTGAAGGCACACAGTTTTCTTAGCAGGAATATCTCATATAAAACTATCTTCAGCACTATTTGTCATAGCCACTCTGCTGACATCTACTGATACACTGACCCTCGTCTTAGAGTGGAATTGAAAGGAAACTAAGTATTTCAAAGAAAGGTAACTAGAAAATTCACAGATATCCTAATTTTCTTTTCCTCTGGGTGTTTCCTTGCAGGTTGTGACCACATGCTTGCAGGTATTAAGTCCCTAAAGATAGTTAAGAAGACTGGAGATAAGCATGGCTCTTGGATGAAAGATCCTGGCAAAAAGCATACGAAGATTTATTTATTAAATGGTTCTGTAAATAATGTTATTTTTGAATTTGCAAATATAATGACATTCATGGAAAACAATCAGGCACTGAGTGCTCGCAGAGTCACATTGCCATTTCCCTGGGAAGGAACTGGCCACGTCATATACCGGGGTTTCCTGTTCTATCATAGATACGGCTCCTTAAATGAGATTATTAAATTCAATATGCAGAGCAGAAAAGTAACCGACCAAATGCTACTGCCAGGGGCTGGAAGGATTCCTGCCTATCAGCTTTCCCCACACACAAAAATAGATCTTGCCATTGATGAGCAAGGGCTCTGGGCAATCCATGCAGAGCCAGAGACTGGAGGAAACATTGTCATTACTAAAATCAACCACATAACCCTGGCAGTGGAGCACACTTGGGACACACCCTGCAGCAGCAAGGATGCTGAAGCAGCTTTCATGGCATGCAACACGCTCTACGTTGTCTACAACTCTCCTAGCGGAGGCACCTCTCGCATACGATGTGTTTATGATGTTTTGGATGCTGTAAGCACCTATGAAATCCCAGCACTGCATTTCCCAAGACGTCAGGGGAGCCACTCCACTATACATTACAATCCTAAAGAAAAGCAACTCTTCGCTTGGGGTGATGGATCCCAGATCATTTACAAGCTTCGCACACAGCAGAAAGTTTAGAATCTTTAGCAACTTTTCAAATAGACTTAAAAGCTGCCAGTCCCATGTCAACATGACCATTAATGTGCACTAAAATTACATTATGCCCATCCATTACAACTTTCACCTATTTCACATGACTTTAGGCTTATGTACCCCAGTGATCTTAAACTAACTCCCCATTAATATAAATTACATGATGACTAAATGCTACATGTGGACAACCCATACACACACATGCTAGTCCTAAAGAGTAAGGAATAACAATCCATCTCTGACATGTTCTCTTCCTCTCAAAATTATGTATTCTACTTCAGTGCTGTGGAAATCAAATCACAAGTCCTTCCTGTCCAATACACACTATCTGACAATCTCCACCGCTCTGAAGGTCGGTTTAGAAAGCCTTCTGGTAAGCAATATAAAATCACATGCTTCCAGAGAAATTATCCGTAAGTTTTAACTGCAGAGGTTTATTACATCACAAAGTATAAGAGTACAGACCCTCACAAACATAGTTTATATTTAACATTTAACTCTCATATATCACATCAAGGTTATTCTTAATCATTGAACTTCTACAGTATTTCCATTATATTTCCACATTTTTCTTATCCATATAGCTGTACGGTCCACTTTTGAACCTGACCATACATTAGTTGCAGCTAAATATTCACTCTTATCAGCCTCAAGTTGCCACTTTTCAGTATTTTTTTAGTGCATAACTGCTTGTGTGACAGAAGGAATGTTCCTAGATTATCCTGTTCTGTATCAAACACTATTTTTTTTAAATGTTCTACATGTCACTCTTTGTTTCCCTTCTAGTTGTGAGGCATTTCCCAATGCTTCAAATCACTTCCACTGGTCGTAGCAGAATCTTTCTCATCCTGTCCTCCAGCTCCAGGAAAATACCTGTTCAAAAAGGTGGCCCTGATGAGCACAATGATGCAAGAGAGGGCATGTCATTGCTCAGTCCTGTGTTAGTGAGTAACAGACAAACTCCAGGTAAATACAAATACACTTTTGTTTCAAAAACCAAACTGACTTTTAGTGTGAAATATAGGTACTGGCTGTAGTTTTGAGTTGTTGTGGGTTTTTAATTTTAATGACATCTGTATTTCTGTTTAATAACAAATAAGAAAAAAAAAAAAACTAGAGGAAAAATAAACACAACAAAAAAAGTCTCCCCCAAAACCCACAAAGAGTGGTGCTTGAATAGCAATCCACAGCTGTTTCTACAGAAAGCCCATTTAGTTCTTTAGACTGAAAGAGCTGTTGTTCTGCCTAAAAATAGCCTCAACAGAACAGCCAAACATCAGAGAATGATTTTGAAAAGGACTTCCAGAATTCAACTAAGAGTGTATAGACTCCTGAGCTGCAATAGTGATACTCTGCTTTTAGAAAAAAAAAAAAACTGTAGCATTCTAAGCAGCCTTAATGATTAGAGCACTACTTCTGTGTTACAGAAGCCATAGGAAAGCACAGTTAAAGACATCTCAGGCTGAAAGTAAGGTGAGTTGGCACTGGTTTCCTGCGTGACCATGGGCTAAAGGCAGGCTTGACTATTTGGCCTTTTATTCCTCATCTGTAAAAATAAAAACACCTAAATACAAAATGGTATTAGCCACCTTTGGAAGGCTTTGAGATCTTTTACTGCAAAAAGATGTGCAATTTTCTTTATTTAAGAAATAAAAGCTTTTGATGCAAACATGGATTGAGTCTGTTCTTTAGAAAAGGCATTCTTGGGATGTGCCATGTGCCATACTATTATTACACAACAGAGAAAGCCCATGTTACTGTTCTATGTAAAGTTTTTAATGAGCCATCCTCAAAAGTTCAAGCAGGGTCTTCGCTGAACCTTGCTGTCTGGGAAATCCAAGCTTTATAATAAATTTAAAGCACCCTGTGCCTGACAGCAGCCAAGACTTCCCACCTGCAGGAGATGGAGACACAGCCACCTTGCACAAGGTCTCCCAGCACCCCATAAAAGAATTGCTCGTTGCCAAGTGCTGTGTACGCCCTTCTTCCCCATCATGTGGTCCTGTCTCTGAAGTGTGAGGAGATTCCATCTCCTCTGCATGGAGCCCCAAGGAAGAGGGGAGGAGAGGGGTTGGAATCCTTTGAGCCACTGTGCCAGCACCACACAAGGAGTCTGTTGCAGGCCACTGAAGGAGTTCCTTGGGACCTGGAGGTGGGGGTGGTTCTTTTGAGTCTGAGGCTCGCTCTGGCTCTATTTTATAGTTTTGAGGATGAACTTTCACACTGCTTTTGTTTTTCTAAATCCCCATGGATATTTTTAGTGTTCTCTAACACAAAGTATGATCTGATCTCTGCACTCATCTGTGAGTTTCCACCACGTGCATTTCACCACGGCTATAACAAAGATAAAGAACAACTTATAACACTTCACTCTTGCTCATAGTCTTCCTGGAGCACAACAAAGACTAGGTTACTGGTCCTGCAGTATGAAATAAGATGGGAAATGGGCTGTGGGTTTGGGTAGCATATGAATTTTGCAGACTGAAGTGACCACAGTATCTTGGGCTTACAGCAGCAATGACACAGTTGAGAGAGTCATGTGTGTGAATATGCTCTGTGCTGCTGATCAATTCACATTCAGGTAAGAAAAAGACAGTATGCTTTCTCCTCCAACTTTTTGGTAATCTCATAAATATATATGATCTCATTAATTTTCATAACTGATAACACACAAGCAGATATTTTTGAGGAAGTCAGAAGAGGCATTTGCTTAACTCCTGGATGAAAAAGGGCAAAAGTGAGGACTGCCTGTTCAGAAATGGGAAGGATCACGAATATCTGAAATGAATATTATCTGCTCCAGCATAGCAGTCTCCAAAAAGCAAGGACAAAGCACTGTTGGCAAAGCAGTAGTAAGCCGTGACAAGACTGCATGAAAGAGGGCACTGACTCCCAGTTCAGGTAGATGATACGATTGTTACCATGGGAATGAAATTGGTACAAGGAGATGAACACAGAGAAGTCTTCATCAGGAACAAAAAACACAAATGAGTTTATGACCTCTACCTTCACCATCTAGATAACATCCATTACTGCCCTTGTCCTCTCACAGTGTGCCTTCTCCATGTGCTCATTTCATCTGAACCACTGGCTTTTTGCTTCTTCAGAGCTGCATTGTCATGTTCGGACTCGACAGACAGGTCCCTCTTGTGTTGGCTCTTTTGCTTTGCTGCAGCTCTCAGGGTAGAATCCAGTGCTCTCCACTATGACAGCGGGATCATCATCCTCCTAACAACAGCAGCACTCCTCGATGCTTTGGCTGCCATAAAGGCCCCTCACCTCTTCACTGATACCAAAGTTACCTTGTCCTTTCCTGCATTAAATCATGACTGACTCTTCTGCAGAAAGCTGGCTCACGTCAGGATAATCTACAAGGATTATGTCCTGTTTGCACTTGAAACAATCAGAATTATCACAGACAGAAAGGTTTTCAGCCTTCTCTGATTTGTTGACACCCGTGTGATGAATTTAAGCTTTCTAAAAACACTGTACTTGCTTACTTTTTTGTGGATGTCAAGGATCTGTGGACTGTATGTTAAAAGCAACTTGCCAGTACAGCAGAGCTTGATGTTGGGAGCATGGTGTAAATTATGTCAGTATAAATGGTTTTGTTTCTACAGTGCCCATCAAAGATAAGCTTGACCCTCAGAAAATATTCTTCCTTTCTCTTCTTTTCTATCTGCCTGGATCTGGAGGATGTGAGCCTGTATTAGCATTCATGCAAGCAGACACCATATAAGAAAAACTCACACTACATATTTATTACAGATGGGTTTACCACTAAGCAGCACAAATATTACATGCCTACTGTCATCCTGCTTTGTAGCAGTGCATTTTTTCCCCCACACGCTGTTTCCCACCCCTTGTGCCAGGGTCACCAGTCAGAGGACACGGCTGCAGAGACAGTGCATGGAAGCTCAGCAAACAAACTGCAGAACCGAAATCATTAAGATGCGGTTCTCCTAATACTGAAGAAATAGCTCCTCCTGAAGGCAGAAATCCAGACCTGTGACTTTTTAAGTTATTTGAACTTTTCATGGGTTTGCATTGCATATAAGAAAATAACATTTTATTATACTTGCACCGTATTGAGCCCTAAGCCTAGAAAAAAAACAATGTACAGAATCACAGAGTCAACTAAGTTGGAGAAGACCTCTGACATCATTGAGTCCAACCTTTGCGTGAACACCACCTTGTCAACTAAACCACGGCACTAGGTGCCACATCCAGCCTTTCCTTAAACACCTTCAGGGATGGTGACTCCATCACTTCCCCAGGCAGCCCATTCCAATGCTTGATAATCCTTTCTGCGAAAAAATTCCCCCTGATGTCCAGTCTGAACCTCCTCTGGTGCAGCTTAAGTCTATGTCCTCTCATCCTGCCAGTGATTGCCTGGGAGAAGAGGCTGACCCCCACCTGGCTACACCCTCCTTTCAGAGAGTTGTGGAGAGTGATAAGGTCACCCCTGAGCCTGTTTTTCTCCAGGCTAAACAACCCCACTTTCCCCAGCTGCTCCTCACAGGACTTGTGCTCCAGATCCTTCACCAGCTCCATTGCCCTTCTCTGGACACACTCCAGCACCTCAATGTCCTTCCTGAACTGAGGGGCTCAGAACTGGACATGGGACTCGAGATGTGGCCTCGCCAGTGCCAAGTACAGAAGGACACTCACTTCCCTGGTCCTGATGGACACACTATTCCTGATACAAGCCATGTGCCATTGGCCTTCTTGGGCACCTGGGCACACTGCTGGCTCATGTTCAGCAGCTGTCAACCAGCATCTCTGGGTCCTTTTCCATCAGACAACTTTCCAGCCACTCATCCCCAAGCCTGTAGCAATGCATGACACAAGTGCAGGAACTGGCACTTCTCCTTAGAGACCTTTTCTATTAAACATGCCATAAGTTCTGTGACATCGTTACTGCAACTACACAGGGCATTTAGAAAAACAAACTATTGCTAATAGTAGCTGATATTTTAAGGAATAAGACTAAATAACTGACTATGCACAAGAATTAGCAAATCATATGGGGAGTTTCCCTAAGAAACAAGATCAATTTAGAAACATACCTCTCACCGTGGGTTATGGTAAAACAGGTATAAAAAAAGACAATATTGAAGTTTTTTTCCATTTTGTTCATATCTTATAAGTATAAAAATTTTCTCTTGTGATTGAAATGAACAGTTAATTTCAGTTAAAAAATCTTGTGCTCACTGACATGAGAATAAAGTCATCTGGAGATTGCATACAAAGCATAAAGGGGATGTGCACACATGCCCATTATGACAGGATTCTCAGTATTAGGAGGAGGTTTAATTTATGACTCAACATTTTCCAATGTTATGTGTGCAAATATACGTGTTGTGCACACACACATATATATATGTATTTATAAAGCCTTAAAAGTTTTCTGTTGGTGATATCTGGGTGTTACTCAGTTTTTTCAGCTGTTCACACTGACAGTATAAACCCCGGGTTTAATTTGCCTTGGAATTTATTATTGCAAAATATTTCAAAACGACAGTTGTTTGAAACCCCTTTTAAAATAATTTTGAACAAGTAAAATCTTTATGTAGAAAAGGTTAACAAAAAAAAAATCTCTGAAATGCTCCCTATGTGAGTGTCATATTTATTACAGATAACCATCTGCCTTTCCTTTTTATTTTGAGCTGACTTCTCAGTGGGACTGACCCCATGCAGTGAGTCAATGCCCACTCCATGATTACAAGACTGAGGCTTTTCTTTCTGCTCTTTGAACTGTTTCTTAAGAGTAGAGGAACAAGGGAAAAAAATATCTGTAGAAAACATTTTGTTATTTGATAGACCTTTAGGAGTATCTCAAAAAGTAAATACTTCTAAAATGGCTAATTTTTGGGAGTTCTAAGTAGTCTCTGACCTGATTTTCCATTTCCCAATACTGTCTTCATCCAACTAATGACAGTCTGAAAGATCCAGCATTTGGGAGCAGCGGTAGAAATACCCACTTTAGGACATGTTGGGCCTGTAAAGGAAAATACATCTTTGTTTCTGACTAGTTTAGTTAAACTTCTAGAAGTAGAAAATGTGTTACATGAGTGTTTCTGTCCCAATAAAATGAAAAACAATTTAGTTCAG